AGGATATCAAAAAACGTATTGCAATGAGAAAGTCTGCTATTAATGACCTCTCTAATGTACTCAAGAGCAACGGTGTCTCTCTGGAGACTAAGGTGCGCCTGATACAGGCCATGGTCTTTGCAATCACTTGTTATGCATCAGAGAGTTGGACAATGACTAGGGAGGACAGAAGGAAAATTGATTCCTTTGAGCTGTGGGGCTGGAGAAGAGTATTGAATGTACCATGGACTACCAAGAAAACAAACAGATTCATCCTAGAGAGGGTTAAACCAAGCTACTTCTTGGAAGCAAGGATTCCAGGGCTTTGTCTGACATACTTTGGGCATGTTGCAAGGAGGTATGGGTCCTTGGAGAGGGACATCATGTTTTGGAGGGTGGAGGGACGGCGCAAGAGGGGAATACCATCTACGAGACGGATTGATTCAGTGACTGGGGTAATTGGGATGGGTGTGTCAGAGGTAGTGCGATTGGCATAGGATAGAGCAGGGTTTAGGACTGTTGTACATAGGGTCGCTATGAGTCACAAACGACTCGACGGCACATAACAACAGCAACAACAACCAGCTCTTCTATATAAATGGCTGATGTTCTACGGATTCTGTATCACAATTCTTTTTTATCAGATATATATTCAGTATTACTTCATATCAGAAGCTAATATGTCTCATGAGTGCCTAATATTTAAGGAGCTCTGGTAACCTAGTGGTAAGGAACTGTACTGCAATCACAAAGACACTGTTAAAACTCACAAGCATCTGCGAGAGAAAGATTAGCAATCTCCTCTCATGCAATTAAACTATCCCTGAAAACCCATTGGAAGTTCAGCTATGGATGGGTTTCAACTCACCGGTACATAATAACAGCAAGCATATGATTAGAAGAAAATTAAAACAAGCCCTCAACAATCAAAACATGACATTGAGTCTATCCCGCCTGAATTTATGAATCATCTTAAGAATTGGTTTTCATCTCATCCCAGTAAGAATAGCAAAATATAACAGAACAGCAAGCAACAAATGCTGG